CTCCTCGCGTTTCTGCGACCCTGATAACAACACAGCCTTCGGATTCGGCCATTTTACATTCTTGTTCGGATAACCTTATTCGGTTTTGTATTAGGATCGTAGAAACGGCATGAACAATAGTATTTCCAGCTGATTTTATATCAGGAACACGAGTACTTCCATACTTAATTGCGTTTCTGGGATCCTGATAGCAAAATATTACCAAACTAGTTGATGCTGTTGCAGATATATTCTTAGTCATTTGTGTGTTTTCTTCTAAAAATGTGTATCAGGATCACAGAAACCGTGGGAGGGATCCGCGCCAAACCATTTCACTCTATTGCCATATCATGCGCACGAGTACCGCTTCCATACCTCCTCGCGTTTCTGCGATCCTGGTAGCAACATTTTGCTTATCGGATTTTACCATTTCACATGCAAGTCCTGCTCAGATTTGCCTATTTGTTTTATAAAATTTTGTATTAGGATCATAGAAACGGCATGAGCAAGAGTATTTCCAGCTGATTTTATATCAGGAACACGAGTACTTCCATACTTCCTTGTGTTTCTGGGTTCCTGTTAGCAAAAGATTACCCATCTAGCTGATGCTGTTTCAGATATATTCTTAGTCATGTGTGTGCTTTCTTCTAAAAATGTGTATCAGGATCACAGAAACCGTGGGAGCGATCCGCGCCAAACCATTTCACTCTATTGCCATGTCATGCGCACGAGTACCGCTTCCATATCTCCTCGCGTTTCTGCGATCCTGGTAGCAACATTTTGCTTATCGGATTTTACCATTTCACATGCAAGTCCTGCTCAGATTTGCCTATTTGTTTTATACAAATGTGTATTAGGGTCGCAGAAACGGCGGAAGGCAACCGAACGAAATTTGTAGTCTGCGGCAATTTGGTTAAGAGTACCGCGTTCATACCCTCTCACGCTTCTGAGTTCCGGGTACCAAATTTTACCCATCAAGTTGACGCTTTTGCAGAGAAATTATAATCAAACGCGCCTTGCCCATTTACTAAAGATTCTGTATACGGATCACATGAATGGTTAGATGTATCAGCATGAAAGCAGTAGCATTATACCAGGAGCATGAGTATGGCTTCCATACCTCCTCGCGTTTCTGCGACCCTGATAACAACACAGCCTTCGGATTCGGCCATTTTACATTCTTGTTCGGATAACCTTATTCGGTTTTGTATTAGGATCGTAGAAACGGCATGAACAATAGTATTTCCAGCTGATTTTATATCAGGAACACGAGTACTTCCATACTTAATTGAGTTTCTGGGATCCTGATAGCAAAATATTACCCATCTAGTTGATGCTGTTGCAGATATATTCTTAGTCATCTGTGTATGTTTTCTTCTAAAAATGGTATCAGGATCACAGAAACTGTGGGAGGGATCCGCGCCAAACCATTTCACTCTATTGCCATGTCATGCGCACGAGTACCGCTTCCATAGCTCCTCGCGTTTCTGCGATCCTGGTAGCAACATTTTGCTTATCGGATTTTACCATTTCACATGCAAGTCCTGCTCAGATTTGCCTATTTGTTTTATACAATTTTGTATTAAGGTCGCAGAAACGGCGGAAGGCAACCGAACGAAATTTGTAGTCTGCGTCCATTTTGTATTAGGAGTACCGCGTTCATACCCTCTCACGCTTCTGAGTTCCGGGTACCAAAATTATACCCATCAAGTTGACGCTTTTGCAGATAAATTATAATCAAACGCGCCTTACCTATTTACTAAAGATTCTGTATACGGATCACATGAATGGTTAGATGTATCAGCATGAATGCAGTAGCATTATACCAGGAGCATGAGTATCGCTTCCATACCTCCTCGCGTTTCTGCGACCCTGATAACAACACAGCCTTCGGATTCGGCCATTTTACATTCTTGTTCGGATAACCTTATTCGGTTTTGTATTAGGATCGTAGAAACGGCATGAACAATAGTATTTCCAGCTGATTTTATATCAGGAACACGAGTACTTCCATACTTAATTGAGTTTCTGGGATCCTGATAGCAAAATATTACCCATCTAGTTGATGCTGTTGCAGATATATTCTTAGTCATCTGTGTATGTTTTCTTCTAAAAATGGTATCAGGATCACAGAAACTGTGGGAGGGATCCGCGCCAAACCATTTCACTCTATTGCCATGTCATGCGCACGAGTACCGCTTCCATAGCTCCTCGCGTTTCTGCGATCCTGGTAGCAACATTTTGCTTATCGGATTTTACCATTTCACATGCAAGTCCTGCTCAGATTTGCCTATTTGTTTTATACAATTTTGTATTAAGGTCGCAGAAACGGCGGAAGGCAACCGAACGAAATTTGTAGTCTGCGTCCATTTTGTATTAGGAGTACCGCGTTCATACCCTCTCACGCTTCTGAGTTCCGGGTACCAAAATTATACCCATCAAGTTGACGCTTTTGCAGATAAATTATAATCAAACGCGCCTTACCTATTTACTAAAGATTCTGTATACGGATCACATGAATGGTTAGATGTATCAGCATGAATGCAGTAGCATTATACCAGGAGCATGAGTATCGCTTCCATACCTCCTCGCGTTTCTGCGACCCTGATAACAACACAGCCTTCGGATTCGGCCATTTTACATTCTTGTTCGGATAACCTTATTGGGTTTTGTATTAGGATCGTAGAAACGGCATGAACAATAGTATTTCCAGCTGATTTTATATCAGGAACACGAGTACTTCCATACTTAATTGCGTTTCTGGGATCCTGATAGCAAAATATTACCAAACTAGTTGATGCTGTTGCAGATATATTCTTAGTCATGTGTGTGTTTTCTTCTAAAAATGTGTATCAGGATCACAGAAACCGTGGGAGGGATCCGCGCCAAACCATTTCACTCTATTGCCATGTCATGCGCACGAGTACCGCTTCCATAGCTCCTCGCGTTTCTGCGATCCTGGTAGCAACATTTTGCTTATCGGATTTTACCATTTCACATGCAAGTCCTGCTCAGATTTGCCTATTTGTTTTATAAAATTTTGTATTAGGATCGTAGAAACGGCATGAGTAATAGTATTTCCAGCTGATTTTATATGAGGAACACGAGTATTTCCATACTTCCTTGCGTTTCTGGGTTCCTGATAGCAAAATATTACCCATCTAGTTGATGCTGTTGCAGATATATTCTTAGTCATGTGTGTGTTTTCTTCTAAAAATGTGTGTCAGGATCACAGAAACCGTGGGAGGGATCCGCGCCAAACCATTTCACTCTATTGCCATGTCATGCGCACGAGTACCGCTTCCATACCTCCTAACGTTTCTGCGAACTTGGGAGCAACATTTTGCTTATCGGATTTTACCATTTCACATGCAAGTCCTGCTCAGATTTGCCTATTTGTTTTAAAAAAAATTGTATTAGGGTCGCAGATACGGCGGAAGGCAACCGAACGAAATTTGTAGTCTGCGGCAATTTGGTATTAAAAGTACCGCGCTTTCATACCCTCTCACGTTTCCGAGTTTCTGGTAGCAAAGTTATACTCACCAAGTTGATGCTTTTGCAGAGAACTTCTAATCAGATGCCCTTACTCATTTACTAAAGATTCTGTATCAGGATCACAGGAATGGTTAGATCTATCAGCATGAAAGCATCATTATTCCAGGAGCATGAGTATTGCCTCTATACCTCATCGCGTTTCTGCGACCCTGGTAACAGCACAGCCTTCGGGTTTGACCATTTTGCATTCTTGTTCGGTTTTGTATTAGGATCGTAGAAACCTCGAGAAATAACTGCATGAGTAATAGTATTTCCAGCCAATTTTATACCAGAAACACGAGTACTTCAATACCTCCTCGCGTTGCTGCGATCCTGCTAGCAACATTTTGCATATCAGATTTTACCACTTGACATGCAAGTCCTGTTCAGATGTGCTTATTTGTTTTATAAAATTTTGTATTAGGGTCGTAGAAACGGCGGAAGGAAACCGTACGAAATCTGTAGTCTGCGGCAATTTTGTATTAGGAGTAGCTGTATCGCGTTTCTGCGACCTGATAACAACACAGCCTTCGGATTTGACCATTTTGCATTCTTGTTCGGATATAATTATTGTTCGGTTTTGTATTCCCAGCCAATTTTATATCAGAAACACGAGTACTTACGAGAAATTTTGTCTATCGGGTTTGACGGTTTTACATGGCCAATCCTGTTCGATAGTACTTAATCGGTTTCTAAAAAGTTTTGTATTGGGGTCGCAGAGACGGAGACAGGTAACTGCTCGTAAACATTTCGTTCCAACTTTATATTAGGAGTAGGAGTACCACTTCCATACCTCCTCGCGTTTCTGCGATTCCTGGTAGCAACATTTTGCCTATCGGATTTTACCATTTTGCATGCAAGCCCTGTTCGGATGTGCTTATTTGGTTCATAAAATTTTGTATTGGGGTCGCAGAAACAGCGGAAGGTAAGTGACCGAAATCTGCTTTCTGCGGCAATTTTGTATTAGGACTACCACTTTCATGCACGATCACAGAAGTGGCGAGAGGTAACTACACGAAAGCATTTCCCACCAACTTTATATCAGATGCAGGGGTACGCTGCAATATCTCCTCGCATTTCTGTGATACTATCGGTTGAGGATCTTTGTACTGGTTAGGCGAGCTCACCCGGTTCTTGAACTTGCAAAATTAATTTCAGTACACTATAACGTTAATCCGACTACAACCAGAATTCGACAGCAGGAATATTTAGATTTCTATATTCATGCTTTGAATTCAGCTGTTTATTTATAGGTTGAAAATCATCTGATAATACTCCATTGTCATTCAAATGATCAATGCCACTTGGTTTCATAACTCATAATACTGAACTAATTTTATCACAGTTCAGAAAAGTTCTCATGTCACAAGAAATCTTTCTTCACCTATTGGTAAACTACAAAAGTCGCTAGAGTCGCTAGAGATATTCAAGGACTTCATTTAAAACATTATTTGTACTAAATAGTTAATGAAATAAAAATCAGCAGCAATGTTTAAAGACTTTACTTATATTTATTATTATAATTATACATCGATTAACTTAAAATAAACCTGGACTGTCACAGCAAAACTTAGTAATACAGAGTAAAACATCCTACTTATTTTTATAGGTCCAGGCTTCTACCATTGCATTTCCGAAAAAACTATGGCGCCTCACTATCTGGATGAAAAACTCCAACAGTGGGGCCTTTCATTTTCTTCATCGATTTAAACAATACAAAAATTCATGCAATAAATGCACACTCCCGAGAAAAATTATATTATCTACCTATTTGGAAGATTTAGCCAAAAGACCACTCTGCAAACATAATGGAAAACAATTCTCAGGGGCTTAGTGAGAACAGCAGCAAAAATAGTTGTATAAGATTTACAACAGTTCATGAAAAAAATGAACTTTATTAATATGTATTGAAACTGTCTGCACACTACATATTTAATGCATTCACTACGTTTATATGCACGTCAAAAAATGGTTTAATGGAAACCAACAGTGAATATCGACGGTAAGCTGTTTCAAGATATACTTGTAAACGTAATAATTAAATAGAGAGTTAAAAGTGAATGTTTACATTTTGTTTAGACAGTTGGAATTGTTTTCCATACATTTCACATCATGTTCTTTATTTTTCTTTGGAAGAAACTGGAAAATGGTAGAAATATATTTTTTCGCAGGTAAGCGCATCAGCTGCCGAAAAAAATTGGAATATAATGCGATAAAATAACGTATAGAAAAAATGTATCTAATGAACACTTGGTATGCGAAATGTTGAATTTTTTATATATTTCGTAGAAACAATTGCTAAAAAACTAACACAACACCACATTTACATACGGACACTCGCAACGTTCTATTACTCACAAAAAAAGTATTGAGACCATCAAATGGCCGTGACAAAAAAATCATGTCGGAATTAAATTTATACAAAAGAATTTTACTACAAAAATCCTAGAAATATTAGTAATAATCTCAACAAATGGAGCAGTCAAATATACGCAGTTTCCCAAAAAAATGCAAAAAGGCATTCGTCAAAAACGAGCAAAAAATCATTCAACATTATGTACATTTTGTCCTCTTAGAGAACTAAAAAAATCGAATTGGAGATATTATCACATTTCTAAGAAATGATAAGGTACATTATTTAACTGATAACATGTCAGTGATAGCTTGGAGTATTCAAACTTACCACCAAGAGACAACTTTTATAGTACCTTCCTCCCTCAAAAATTTTGATACAAAAATAACAAAAAAATGCGATAAATTCGAGAACTGAAATCCAAAAGGTTGGTGATATAGTAGCAAAGCGAATACAGGATTCAAATGTGATTCAATCTTTATTGGACATCCTGCAATGCTATTCAGATATAAAAAAATGGTTAATGAAAAAATGGTATTTGAATTTTCCTGGAAAACCGTATAGAGCCTTATTTCGATACAAATAGACATAAATTACGTGGAAACTGGCGCTAACTAAAATATTTACAAAAATAAGTCTAATATTCTTACATACATTTAAATATATTCTTGGTGTGTGTCTGTAACTGTAACTGCCTGAGCACTTACGATTTATCAACTTTAATTTTTCCCATTAAATTTCTTATTTACTCACTATAAATCGAAAAAATTGTTAAGGATTCATACTCAACATGGTACAAGATCGATTCATAAGAAAATTACACAAATTGCATTTTTGATAAGTCTTAGGCATACTGCGTTGTTCCTCCTGTCGGAAAATAAATACTGGCAAAAGTTTAAATAGATAGTAGAGAGTAGATAACATTTTTGATGAACACTTCCACTGAATAAAAAGGTACAATGATGAAACAGAACAAAAACTCTTGAACATTAGCAAATTATAATTATATTTGCAAAACATTACAGCACATGAAAGTAATCTCGGATGAGATTATAATCTCACTAATACAGAAATTCAACAGATTAGAGTAAGGCACCCTCGAAATATGTCTCAATTAAAAAAAAATCATTCACGGCAATAGTCAAAATGACATCAGACAATATAAAAGGGTGATCGACACAAGGTATAATCTGATATAATAAGAATTAGAAATTGAAAAAGATGTCAATTCCAATATAAGCTGGAGTCTAAATGGAAAAGCTTCATCCTAATGCTGGACTAACTAAGCAAAAATAGTGAAAGCCAACTGTAGTTTTGAAAGTTAAATCACCGATCTTGTACTCACATTCACAAAAACCAAATCGAAGAGAAAAAATATCAAAATATAAACCGATCTGTAAAGCTATGTAAACTTTTCAGAGGAAGCCGTGCTTTAAGAATATTATTACAATTTTTTTTTGTTCAGAAGACTGAGTTACAACTATATACATCGTGTTATGGCTACCATCCCCGATTTGAAAGCAGACCTCCCCTATTTCAGAGGCCTGTTTCGAGATCAACCAGTTAAGTTTCGTCGAATTAGTTCACCCACAGGAAAAATACATGTTTCAAATAATGATTCCAAAATAGAGTTTCAAAAGCATCATAAAGTTTCTCTATAAACTTTTACTCGTTTCTCACTAAAGTTAGAATTTCGCATCCATATAAGCAAAAGGATTATTGATGGCACTTCGTGAATGCGCAAAAATATCGCAAAAGGTTCACGACACCAGCCAAAAACATTAGTGTTCCCGTTTGGGAATTTAGCAACGCCAAAGAGATATTAAACCATCTAAAAAGTAACTAGTGGACCAAATTGAACAAATTTGGTGCTCAGTGTATTTGATGAAATCGATCTATTAACAGAAAGAATGTGAAATTATTATTTTTCACGACACTTCACCACTTTTTGACGTGTACATTTGATCAACATATGACATCTTTGTGTTAAAGTCTACACTCTTGTTAATAATGAAACTCAGAACCGTATTTAGAACTATTTACACCAGCCATTTTGCTTGTATTGTTTTTTCTATCTATTATCCATAGCGCAAAAAACCACAACAAAATACGACTCTATAGATCTGCCACTGACAGATTCATCAAAGTTATGTGTCACTTATCAACATGGAATATTTTGAATGGCACTAGATAATCAGCTATTATTTGTTGTCACGTTTTGACGTGATGAAGTACCGCTAAAAATAGATTATATGAATTTATTTAAGCTTTATTTACCTATAATCTTGGGTTAAGCAGCTAAGTAATCCATGTATTTATCCTAATGTAGCTGAACTAACACTGTGCTATGACGCGCAGCACGTTGCTTTAACCCCTTTATTCTCGAGCTGAATATTATACACAGAGATATAACTTGGACACTGACCTTGAGATTCTTCACGTACCTTCATCACAGCACATATCGTGGAGCCTCCACTTGTTTTTCATCAATACGTTCCAAGAACAGTTCTGAACAGATCAAATCAGATCCAAATTATTGTTGGAACATACTGAATGTTATCCCCACTTCCGCCTACTATTACATTTCTTTTATTTGTATATAAGAAAAATGTCCACACCATCAACGCACGTCACACCAGTCAGTTCTTTTATTTTTCGTTTCATCTTAATACGCGTTAATATGATGTTTCCGAACTCAGTAACTTTATCACCTGTGTAGTTCTGGCCTAAAATTCGTGGAGGAAGCTTTTCAAATACTTCCTCTTATGATAATGGATACGCTCGACATATTTCACTAAATATCCCAGGTTGTGATGTCTGCTTTAGCAGTTTTTTGAAACAAAATTTTATCCAACCACAGACAGTTGTTAATTTCGCCCTATGGGGCTCGTCAGTGTGGTGGTAGTCAAATACGAGGAACTATAACAATTTTTATACAATCAAAAAGATGTAGATTCTTAATATCAGTTTAAACGAATTAGAAAGTTTAGATTTTCCTATGAAAGCAACCACGATTCATCCCTTTTTATACAGGGTGTCCTTAATGTGGGAACATTACAGGGAGTATAGGTTATGCATTCCCTAGGAACACGTATACCAAAGCTTTAAGATAACCTGGATATTAAGTACAGAAGAAAATCTGAATGGGTCAGTTCGACCCTGACTTCCTATGTGAAAAGGTATTAGCAACATGTGGCAGGGCAGTCAGTGTTGGAAATTCATTTTCAAATGAATAGCGAGTACGTTTCTTCATTTTTTTACGTTTTCGCTTCGTTACTTCAAACTTGGTTGTTTTAGAAAAAGAAATTATCAACTTAAATAACATCATGTAAAGTTGTATCTCAAGGACCGGCCTTGCTTTATCCTGTTTTTTGTTGAATTTTTACATGATGATAAAATAAATGATCATTACCATTTATCATACAGGAAACTAATCTATGAATTGCATCTCCACAAATTTTTTCATTATAAAGTTACCGTTACTGAGCTCGCCTTAATATTTGGTTACTTCACCCTCTTCGTCATTAATCTAAAGCAGTAACACTTTACTTTGTAAATAACAGTAGCGTTTTTTTTGTTAAATAACAGTCTATTTTGCCACTGCAATGCGAACCGCTTACAACACTGGCTCAAAACATGAATAGTAAAAAACGTTAAACAAAGTCAATTGTCACTTATCAAAACAGCCACTCGTATACCGTTTGGCGTAAACATATTCTAAAGATGCAACAGAAACTCTAAAAATCTGTATAAGCATGTGTATAAGAACAAAAAATAATTATGTGAGCCGCTAATACTTTTGCTTCATAGTTCTTTGTATACACGCGTCAAGTGCTTTTTCCAATTTTGAGGTTTAATAACGAGTGTTAATTAGCAATTTTTTCTGTATATTTAGAAGAGGAGGTTTTTTGTTTACACTCAAAAATACGATTCTGTTGCACGGCCAATCTATATAACTTTTTCCGCAACACCTCATTTTCTTATCTCCAATGAAAACATTTTTTTCTATTCGATAATTTGAACCAGTGGTGGATGACGGTATTTGCCCGCGCACTAATAACAGGAAGAACACAGCCCTTCGTGTTTGCGTTGCGAAAGGTATTATCTCCTGTCTCTGTACAAGAGGTAAGTCTGTAACGCCTGTGGAAGCTGCAAGTTCATCGTCTTTTCTTCCAGATGCTGCTTGCCCAACCGCTGTCGTATCACGCGACGGCATAGGTCCATTAGAGGTAGAGGTTCAGCTGAAACAAAAGCCAATATGTTAAAACTACTTATGACTGTTTTTTAATCGCTGAATAACTTGTAACTATGACTTGTAAGTCAATCTACTGTACTCCGTAAATTCGTTTTTCAACTTCTGATTAACTATTGATCTGGCAGCACTGCTTATATTTCTGTACCATCGTGTTCTCTACGCAGAGATGTAAGGTTAAACTCATAGAGTGGGGGTAAAACCAAAAATGTTGACGACGAAGTAAGTAGTCCATTTACGCCCCGCACAACAAAGATGCAGCGCGGCAAAGCGGCAGCCGCCTAAGCGTTGCAATAGCTATTGGTAATTCGGCCATAAAACTACGAACAAGTGCAGGATTCGACATTAATGCAAGACGTATGACATACACCGCGGATCGCCGATTTAGGTTTGTATAAGAATTAACACAAACAAATGCTGTTTCAAGCCGACTTTAAATTTCTCCATGAAAACGGATCTACAGTGATGATTGTCACTCCTCGTCGTATCTTCACTGAAATCTTGATTAACGAGTTCTTCAAAAAGATGTTCAGCCCCATGCCATATTTGGATATTTATATACAATTTCTGGTGCCTAAAGGTGGTTGTTGATACGTATATAGTTGTAAGCATAAATTTTTGGCAAGGCCACAGTACATATGCCCGTTTTAGCGTAATTGCAGCTTTCAATCCAATTGGAATATGTTAATCAGTGATCAGAAATTTGTATAGCTACGACTGAAATATATTTATTTTGACATCATATAGGTGTTTTACGTAATAACACTGCCGATCATGTGAATGCAATAATGTTTTATTCAATCTCGGATTTTTGATAATTTGACAAAAAATACTTACGATCTAATCCACCGATATATCTCATGGTGATCTCGCAGTGTCCCCATACTGCGCTGACTATGGGGTACAACTTCCTTCCTTTCAACCCCCTGAAGGCTACGCCCAGGTACTGCCCGTCGACGACGAAACTCAGCGTACCCTCGTCCATGTCCAGTACCACCAGAAATTTGTCGGGGACTATGAAGGTCTCGTCCGGTTTCAATAACGCGGGGTACGTCACCCCAGGACAATTTTTTGAATCATGGTATAATTTGTTACGACCTGGAAAGAAGATAAACGTGAAACCATTGACAATGTTCTATTCGACAAACACGGTAGCATACTCGTATTTGTTTGCGCCACAGAATTCGGACTAGGTAGAAGGAGCTAGCATGTGATTTGTTTTGAATCAAACTTGCGTAGTCAGTAGTTAGGTTACAAGTGCATACTCCAAGAGGCTTAGGTCGCCAGTTTGACAGCTGTTCGCAGTAAATTCGTATCTTTCTGTTCCAGATAATTGCCGAAAATTATGAAGGTTTCTGAGGATTGCAAAAAGCAGTTTACGCTAGATAAAAGCAAATCTTTTTATACATAAGTGTTAATTAATATACATACTATAGTCATCACCGTTGCGATAGGGCATGCACCTCAACATTGGGCTTTTACCTGGATGGTTGTTAGTATAATCATATTAGCAAATTTCCCTGAAATAATTGTAGTCTGTTTTTGTTGATGCAAGTTGTTCAAGGGGGTATTTAAAACATGAACGCATAAAATGGGTACACCAATTTTTGTGGGAAAACTTTTTATTCGAGAACAAAGAATAAGAAAACGTGCCATTTTCAAGTATTTATGAGTCCTACAAAACCAGACAACACGGAAAAAGATCCTACTAATAGCAAAAACGTTATGGCCGAAAAAAGAGGCAAAATGCAGGTTTTGGCACTTGGTAATACGAACATAATTTCATGCAACTATTTGAAATTCTTCAAATCCGTATTATTCATACTTCTAAATAACTACAACAAAATTCTAGTAGATTGGTCAAGAAGTTTTTTGAGAATTTCCAATTGTTTATCTCAAAACACCTTTTTTCCGACCATCACTACTAGTTTATTGAGCAATATACAGGGTTCGTTCAAAGATATGCCGATATGAACCACAACCCATTCCAGAAGATAAATATAACAATATAACATATATATATATATTGCATAACAATGCAAAAACAAAGGATTAAGTTTTTCTTCTAAACAAATTCAAACATTTCATATTTGTGAGTGAACAAATATGCTACGATATTCGAAAAACACACATTATACACATTTTAAGACGAAGGGGATGTGTCTATTATCTTTTGTTGCAATTACCCACAAATACGAAATGGTTGAATTTGATTACAAGAAAAAAACGCAGCCCTTTGTTTTTCGCATAAGAATAACATGTACCTTTCGGAATGGTTTGTGATTCATATCGGCAAGGCAAACTCGTGTATTTTGCTATTAAATGCGCTTTGAACGAACCCTGTATATTGCTCAATAAACTAGTAGTGATGGCAGGAAAACAGGTGTTTTGGGAAAAACAATTGAACATTCCCAAAAACTGCTTGAACAGTATATTTCAATTTTGTTGTGGACATCTAGAAGTATAAATCCTATAAATTTGAAGAATTTCAAGTATCTGCGTGAAACTATCGTCGCATTACAAGTGCCACAACCTGCATTTTGCATCTGTCATAACTTTTTTGCTGTTAGTCGGATCTTTTTACGTGTGATCTCATTCTGTAGGTCTCATGAATACTTAAAAATCTTATTTGAAGAGTTCTTCACACTCGATTGAATCTCAAAAAACACGTTTTCTCATTCATTTTTGTCGTATAAAAGTTTTCCCACAAAAATTGGTTTACCCATTTTATGCGTCCATGTTTTTAAATACCCCCTTGAACAACTTGCAGCAATAAAACCAGTCTTTACAATTATTTCGCAAACCAGGGGTATGTTCGTCTAATATGATTAGACTATGTGAGGTAATTTTGATTATTTCATTCACTTCTTGTTTCTTGGACTGATCAATGCCAATAGAGGTTTATACACTAAATTTGTGATGGATACTGAAGAGGGCCAACCGAAACTTTTGCTGAGCTTTACTTACTTTCATTTTGAACTTAAAAGACCTTAGAAAAGGTCTTAACTTACGCGTTATAAATAGGAATTTTACGTTTTTCATTTTACTGTCCACAATTTTATTGAATAAGCCCAGCCCACCCCAAGAATTCTATGAATAACAAATTAATTCAATCAGATCCAAAACTTTTTATTTGGATATCCTTTCAAGAGAAAATACTGTACCTAATGTATCGGTCTTTCACGACTGGTAGGCATTGATGTTCAAATCCACCCAAAAGTATGTAGGCACTTATCTACCTAATTGTGACAAAAAAACTGCTTTGTAAACTCATTGGCTCCTTCTAACATATTCGAATTCATTGCCATGTCATAACAATATAGTACTCACCTAAATCCCATCCCCACGAGTTATCCGTACTCCCTACGAGACTCTGGTACCCTACTGAATGCAATGGCGCTTCCGCCGTCGCTACTCCCACCACCGCATGCGTGCCACGTTGCCGCGTCGACCAACACACCTCCCAGCAGTGCATTCCTTTCGTGAAACCTACTTTGCCACGTATGCAGTCTGTGCTTTGGGCTACCGGATGCCTGGAACAGAAGATACACAATTACAAAGATAAGCTCAAAGAGTACACATGTGGTAGCAGAATTCGTGTTCAGGTTTACGTTTCCACGATACAAGTCTAGCAACGAATTTTCGAAGCAAGATACAGAAATATGTACTCGCGCACCTTTCTAAGTCGTTTTCAAGCTTGGGGTTTGGAAGGAATCTAAACTCAGGGGAAAATAATTTATTACAAAACGATGTAAGCACATTCAGATCCAAAATGTTTAAACCTACACCCAAACCGACTAATTTACGCACAAAAACAACAATATTACGTATTACAATGGAGTATTTTTCAAAATGTTTGATTCGACGCAATAACTGCATTTTATCTTCGAAAGTACATTCTGAGCATTTTCACTTTTTCTATAAATGATAAGTTCAAAGGTAAAACTACACCTGAAAACTGTGACGTAATAAAGTTTTTCCGTCCTTAGAATGTCATAATTTGAGGAGCAGACTTTCTAATCGCACATTGTCCATATTTTAACATGTTTGCCTAAATGTGGCGTTCGATTCATGGTACTGCGTACTATAAGATTTTAAACTGAAATACACTCTAAACGAACCATTTTCAGTAGATATTTGACGCTAAAAATAACCTAGGCAAACTAAACGCACTTTGTCTGATGGCAAGAGAATTAAATAGCAATATAACGGACAATGAGCGATTTGTTTGTCTTTCAATGCTATTTGCAGTACAACGTTATTAGCTGCCAAATGAGAGTGGCGTTAAGAAGTGATAGCGCAAAAGATTTAATTATTCTGTGAATAAGTTACAACAAAATGAGTTATGGAGAGCATGTGGTTGGCGATGTTGATGATGAGATGCCAGGAAGAGGAAAATGAATGTTACCTCAAAAGAAAGGAAAATAGAAATAAGGTATGTACTTTTGTATAGGTTATGTTGTTTTCTTATCAAGTCTTTTGCTTGTTGTTTCAGATATGCAGATTTGGACCCAGATTTGTGAATTTTGAATTAAACTGTGTTCACATGTCCAAAAAATGTCAATGCAGGGAGCTTTCGCTGTCCGATATAGAATTAATTAAACAAAAGTTCTACGATAACGGAAAAAAGGACAAAAGTTCACAAGACAACAAATTATCGCAAATGATGGATATAATGTAAATAAAAAGACAAAGAAAAAGGGACGATGGGAAGACACACGACTTTCACACAAATATATTATATAATGGCCAGGTCGCCGGTGATAGTTCACTTCAATCGAACTAAAAGTATATATATTTTTTCACTGATTTGTTTGTTTAAGCAGCCTTTGGAAGCCCGTCTACTGAATGTTGTGGTTTCTGCGTAAGGATGAAAACCGAGATAGACAATAAATAGCAGCGATCAAGAATAAAAATCAAAGTTGAAAGCCCACTTAGTTATTCATAAAACACGCGCAAAGCAGTTTTTCAAATTAATAAAGGAAGAATTTGCATGTGCGGCTTATTGCTTCGATCTGCCTTCTATGCTCAACAGCAGTCTTTTTATGTCTTTTGTGTGACTGACATGTTAATCTCCAGTGTTTCATACTTGGCTCGAGCATGGGCAGCTTTAGTTGACTTCCTGAAAAATATTATTTTATTTTCAGATAGATGGGGGTCAAATCAAAAATTCACATATTAAATATGCGATTGGTTCACTTAAATTGCAGGAGTTTCGGAGGCCAAAAGAATAATCATAAAAAGAATAGCATCTAATAGTGGTGAAGATAAAATCTTGTATAAAACGTAATTTTTATACACAAATGATGATCCCTCAAAGAAATTTTCGAGTCTACTCTCAACCAAAGAAAAAATTAAGTGGTATACTATTGCCCGAATTACCACTCAAGCATGCTCTTACGACGAAAAAACTGGATAGTTTATCTGCATTCTTAGTGAGTTTATCAGGCCAAAATTGGGTAAGAGATCCCGAGCTAACTTGGCTTGATCTAATTTTAAAAGAGCATTATAGGGAACACGGTGAAAGCAAGGAGCAGAGCTGTGCCAACGCTGAAGATGATGAAGGAGGGCTACTCTTATGTTATATAATTTGAAGAAAACTGTTTATTTTAGAATTTTAAGTTTGAAATCATTAAATGTCCATTTATGGACAAACAGACTGGCTCAAAGATATTTTTTTTAGTTTTTAGTCTACTATTAATATTTGTTGAGCCTTGTTAATATACCAAACTCTAGATAATAAAATACGTTTTTTCATGTATTACTCGTTTTTCAAATGTTAGCAATAAGCTTACAGCAGTTTTCCCCCTTTCCTTTAAAAATACCAAAATGGACAATGTGCGATTAGAAAGTCTGCTCCTCATTTATTCTCACCATGATTTGACGTACTAGGCAAAAGCTCACATGATCTCAACACAGGCAGAACAGGATATTATTTAGACCAGTGTTTTTGACAAAGACTGAAAGCAGATCCCATCCAGCCATAGGATGTGTTCTTTTTCAATGCACGAATTTCAAATAGGTTTCTCCAATTTAAGTGCGTAAATTCGAGAATTTCAATATAATAGTTCAAAAACGGATGTAGATAATCTATTTCACCTATTAAGAATGCAATGCATTGTAACATGTGAAACATCCGAAACTATTTCTAACGTATAAAAACCGATTAACAAAAATTCTACGCTCCAGCTCCAGGGCTAAATACTGACCTGTGAAACGTGAGTTTATCATCTTCTTTAACGAAGATATTGAGTGATCGGTCATCTTGGTTCCATCCATACTTTAATTGTGTTTCTCGTAACGCTGGAGGCATGTCTAATAACATGTCCAGTCGAGGAGGTCTGGCAAAATCCTGAAACAACAAAAGGAAAATACATTAGCGTCTCAGATACCACAAACAAAGAAAGTAATGTTATACCTTTAGTAAAGGAGTAGTGTTATTGTTGTTTAGCATTACGAAATCCTGTATCTCCTCAAAAAGTATTCAAGGCAACAAGTAAAAGTCCTTCACAGTATCAAGGTAATATTTTTCTTGTAGACGTATTTTCCGTAAACAAACATAGTACCATTATTGTAGATGCTGTTGAAAAGAGGGACGCCAAAACTTGTTCCAACGTTTATTACTTGACAGTGTCACATTTGGCAACTGGTATACGGTGTGAAAAGTGTATCAACGTTACTTCAAACTCTGTTCTATTACTATAAAGGTGTGATTCCTTTATAACAAACGGAGAATCTTTGTTTATATGATGACAGGCTATGATAGAACATAGTGTTGAATATCAGAAACGGACTAACAAAGAGAGCTGATAAAAAAGAGACACCTGCTGTCCTACAAAAAACTTGTTTACTAAAGTGACTGATACGATAGGAAGATATTACTTTACTTGTCTTTATTTTGAAAAGCGAGAAACGTGCAGTCTGCTACATTTATTGTTGTCGAAAATACGCGTGAAATGTTACGATTTTATAAACATGGCTAAGGATGAAATGTTGATACAGTTGATAAATGATATAGTACGGGGGACATGTAATATATTGTGGGCAAAAGGTATATCAGATTATTTCTCCATGACACAAACACAAATATAGTCAAAATCACGAACGATGACTATTACGTCACACCATAAATTGTACTGAAGTAATCAATGAACATATGTCGATAATAAAATCACGATGTCAGGAACATATATTATGAAAATGAATTTATATTAGGTTATTTCACCGATTATTTTTATTTTCATTTTATTCCATGGTTTTAAGTGATACCTTGATAATAATTTTATTAGGGAGTTTTTGTTTTGAAAAAAAAAACACATGAGTAGAATACACCCTTAGACAGGAACACCAAAGACCAAAGTATTATTCGAAAACAACCTAACCTAACTATTCATATTTCAAATATGATCGATCATGTAACATGAAAAACATCGTCTATCTTTGTCGGATACATGCAAATGAGCAATACAGTTTGTTCAGACAATAAAATTATGTTTGTCTCTGTCTAACATATCTGAAACTTCATTAAAAATATCCACAAATCGCTATCGTTTGTCTTTACTACAGACTAAAATGATGACGTAATCGTCATCTTTTGTGATTTCGACTATATATCAAGTGAAGATTTTGATAGCCCCAGCTTACTTTCCGTGTTTCCAATGATTTTCTAGTAGTATCATCAGACGTTTCTTCTGGAACTGAAGGTTTGAAATCCAAAATATCTGCATCCGATATTTTTGTTGCATAACAGATACGTGACCCTTTTATACTTATTAGTATGGTAGAATTGGGACACTTTTAAAAATAAAAATTAGATTTTATAATATCGTATTATCAAAAAAGTATCACGTCAAAAAACTAACTAAATTAGAAAGTACGTTTGAGTACTCAAAGTGGGCCATGCAAGATTGACTTTTTCCAAGGGCTAGTTGAAACTGGCAGCATGCTAAAAACCTATACAAGTAGACCCGTTAACTGTTTTTTGTGACAGAAATGGGCGATTTTTTATTTTTTCGACAGACAACACTGGTAAACTTTGTGGTGCCTGAAGGAGCGATTGAGGTATGAATGGTTACGAAACTCGCAAACTTTGATTGTATGTTCATGTTTTAATGAAAAAAGCGTTTCAAGCTACTGGGTAGAAACATCATTTTGAACGTGAAATGTAAAATGAACAAAGCAATAGCATTATTATATGCTAGATACAAATGATTTCAGTGAAATAAAGTATATTTCTACTTCCCACGCCGCCGAGCGAGGAAGTATTGTAATTGCGAAAAAATCTTCACGAAAAACAATGTTACTCCGTCGATCTGCCTGTCTGTCTGCCCGTTAATCTTTCACACATTGAAATCTAAAAGGGAAAACGACTTTGTCCAGCACCGTATATATACATATGGTTTAAATATTAAAAATGTAACTAACCTGCGCCAATTCTCTGGGAATGACCGGCTTGTACGGCGGCTGCTGGTGGTCCCTGTTGACAGTTGCTTTGACACTGTTGGACACCTTCTGGCCCATGCTCATGCCCCGGGCCCTCCGACGGGCCGTTTTACACGACGGCAACACCTATAAAAAAATCATTAGACTGAAGCATGCACTGAATCATGTTATTTTTCTATTTTTCAATGAAAAACTAGATAGAGGATAATAAAATCAAATTTACCCTGAGACAAACTAATTTTAACGTGCTGAGTAAAAATAGGTTTCAGGTATTGACATATTAAACTTTTAGTTTTACCCCACGAATTAAGATAGTAAAGCAAAGCAACGGCAAGTTTAATATTCAAATTATGCATAACCATTTCACTTTATTCCGTCATTATTGGCTGGGCCAAGATAATTATAAGATTATAAGAAGTGGCTATTACGTTTTAATTTTGGATCTTTTATTGAGACAGCCTTGAAATAGGTTTTTGAGAGTTAAAAAACATATAATGCAACGTTTCTCTAAGTTCATTTTGGGAAATGCATACTTCATCTTTGTGCTCATCTTAAATCGAACGTGAATCGTGATTAAGCTTTAGAGAGTAAATAAGAATACACAATAATTGACTGGGTCAATCTAAAAAAAAAACATATAATGCAACGTTTCTCTAAGTTCATTTTGGGAAATGCATACTTCATCTTTGTGCTCATCTTAAATCGAACTTGAATCGTGATTAAGCTTTAGAGAATAAATAAGAATACACAATAATTGACTGGGTCAATCTAGTTTCCAGAGTAAAGAAGTCTTAAACACATTTATAATGAAGGGACAGGTATTTCATCTTTAGTTAAAATGCGCAACTAATTTCGATCTTTGAATCTCGATCAAGTGTATCTGAGATAAGAATCCAATGGAATTATCAACGCATACAACTTACAGCTTAGACCTAGAGTAATACCATCTCTGCAGCAGATTTGACATAACATCACAGCAAAACATTGATAACTAAAGCCTCATGACGTTTAGGCAACACGTACAACTAAGTGCTAAGTTAACATCTTGTATAATGTCAAAAAACCAGTATGATGTAAAAAAGATACATACCCGTGCGGATTGACTTTATGCGAATACGTGTACCACTTACGCAGTATTAGTATATTATGTAAATACACTTAGATACGCGAACATTCTAAGCGTCAGTAGTTACTAAAATATTGGAATTGATTTATTATATGAAATATCTGTCAACATCGAAAAATTAAGTTATTGGATATTCTGAATTTTTACATTTAGTTTCTAGTGAATGCCTTTGCCGCCGTTGGCCGATTTTCAAAACTTACAAAACGTTATCGCTAATTGATGTGAGAAGTAGGAAGAGAAATACCTGTTTATGAGTATATTGTTGTCGGTATTAATTGAATTTCTTTGGTTCCTATATGGAAGGAACAGCCATATCTCATCGGTTGCCATTAATATCGTACGCTGTTTTTGGGTAAATTTGCGCGGATATTAACGTATCAAAGATAAATTCACAGTAGCGTACGATAGGTTACATTACTCTCCTCCTGTTGGTACTTAACTATAGTGAGATTCTAATGCTTCTGCTGATACTATGACCAAATATGCATTTTTAAAATAGATATACAGAAGAAGAGAGACATGTCAACTTACCGCCGCCTTGTATGCCCTTCTCGCCTCGCAAGCCCTCCCGCCACCGCCGCCTCCTCCTCCTCCCCCTTGTCCCTGTGTCGCCACCCCGCCCCCCAACACCGGCGCCCCTGCTGCACCTCCAATGCCGCCCCCAACGCCGCCGTGAGCGCTGCTCCTTAACGCTCCACCGCCACTACCACTGATGCCGCGGATGCCGCTCTTATATCTGAAACAACAAAAAAAGCAAAATTAAAGACGATATACGATTGTACATACTATAAAAAATATCAGAAGTGGGATTACAAAAATACAAGAAGTTGTAATTGTCATCTGCCATGATATCGATTTACACAGTTCTGATTGCATACTTTGGGCACCAGTCAGCAATCATTTTTATATGATATATCTTTTTTTGAAAATCGAACGGTTTCGGTGTAGAATGCAACTGCCAGAAAAGCGATAGTAAGCAATCCGTTGGATTGAAGATAAGTTGAAACATCTTCAGAACAAAATAAATATTACTGTTAACCGATTTACATTTGTTTTCAAGCCACAGATAAGAATAAGTTCAATTCAAAAATAATTCAAGAAAAATAATTAAGTTAATTAGAATCTGTATTCCATACGGAATACAGGAAGAGATAATCTGTCAAATTATTCATGTCATCTGAGTGACATGAAAAGAATCCATTTAATTCAATTCACAATACGATACGATTTGAGAAATTAATACTATGGGTCACCCCCTAAAAAGCTTGCATTTCAACTAGTTCAACCGGTAGATAGTAATAATAATTTCATTTACCGCCAACAAAAGCAAAACCACATCTGAATGTATCTGTCAGCTGTCACTGCTAGTCGCTACTCCTGCTAGTACAAAGATCTAATCTGCTGATCGTTGACCTAAATCTATGGTCGCCCCTATCTGCATATCTGACTCACCCTATACATAAACATTTTTTTAGTGCAGCTTAATCCCATTATGCAACGTCATGCTCGCCGTAAATTAGTACAGCAGAACAGCACCCCATAAAAAGCCTGCCATTATTTTACAACCCCCCAAAATGCAGGCGCGTTCCCTATGCGCGTATGCGTCAGATGCTGCATATCAAAACTTGCTTTGAAGCACACACAGTGTTGGATGAACGTAGAAACCAGAAGCAATATAACTTGCCAATGGTGACGTCAACATTATAGAAAAATATTTTTTGTATAAAGGAGTGTATTAAAGTTGTATTTCGACAGAATACACTGGTCAATATTGAAACATTTTCCAGTATTTTTGTTTTCGGTCAAATTAAGTGTGGTGATTTTGAAAATAACATTGTTTTTATTAGCTCTAGGTTAAAAAAGCATGATTTTGTTGATACACTTTAAACAGTTACTGTGGCTAACGTCTTTTATAAGATTTCCGCAAATGAAATGCCGGTTTTAGATCCTAATAAAGATTCGAGCATCATATGTTTGTCCCACTTCTTATGATAATGCTCGCAAATATCCTAGTCACCTTTCACCTGTCTCATTTGTGACCCACTGAAATGACTGCTTTCAAGTTTTTGTTGCTCAGTCCAGGAAATCAGTCAGATTCATGTTTTACTTCTTTGAAATGTCGACGATACATACACTAATCCGAATAGGCCGCTGAGCAAAGTCTATACCAATAATGGTAACAACATAAAAATACACAATCAACATGATACCTTGGCTTCTGCAAATTGCAACTAGTTATTCTATACTGGTTTAACGAAGTCAGTGATCGATTTGTGAAGCTTTGTAAAGGTGTATTCACTACAAATAACACAAACACTGACTTGATTGTTTAAACAATAAATAAGTACAGTAGAGAGTACAAGTAAACTGGTACAGGAAAACCAAAAACTGTACTAACAAAATCAAAAGTTGGACGAGTTCATCCGCTTCCTTAACAAATTACTTGTGGCAGCTGTGCAGCAGTATTATAGCAATAATATCAACAATTCGTCCACAATTATGTTGGCAGATTAATGCAATTAACGTAGCAATTGTTTATTATTGAGTCAGCGTCAGTATGCTCTCAGTCAGCAGCAGTTATTCAACTTGAATCATCCTTATTAAAAGGAGAACGCGCTATTACATAACTATTTCAACGGCCGAGTGGAGAAACCGAAAGTTATAGTCTGGTCAAAATGTAGTCAATTTTCGATTCGATATGTTTCTCCTAATCAGTCATTAGACGCAACAAATATTGAAGACATAGTTGTACAAAAACATTATTTAGTTAACATAGAATGGGTTTCCTTAAAGGTTGGGATATTCCTTTGTAGTTAGTTGTTAGTATCCAAATCAGGCGCGGTGTGCAAGTTAACCTAGCTTACTTACAATATGATTTTTATTATTATTATTTAAAAAACCGAAATTGGCAACTTCATATACCAATAAGTTATTGATTTTATGATCTACTAGATTCTTTTTTATAACAGACCACCACGAATGCCTAAACACCCATGGGTACCGTGGGGCTATAGAGAGATATAGGTGTTAGGGGGGATGTCATACGGACTCGAGCGAGGGAGGAATAGTTAGTACTTTTTTCCAATTTCTTTTTTACATTTTTGTTGCTGTTCTACCTCACCTTAGCTTTGTTATTTAAAACGTAGTTGTTACTGAAAAGGAAAGACTTAACTTTCAGGTCATCCTGTACTTTTCAGTTTGACGGCAAAAACACATAGATTCTGACCATGACACGCAGTGACACGAGAATCTTATAATTTCACAATTATTGGAAAACATGGATCTGTCACAAACTCAAATATTTCTGAGAATGTTGAAGATCTCTGATTTTTAAGCTGATTCTCACCACAAAGAAGAGAAAAAATGCATAATTTAAAAGTTTCTAAATACCATTAAACTTTCTGTAACTAAGCCCTAAAGAGCTCAGAAGGTTGAAAACCGTAGGAAAACGCAGTCATTACGTTAGAAACAATAGAATCAGACTCCATTTGCCTTTCAAGGAAATCGTGACATTAACCTCCCAGGTGAAGATAACCTCTCGAAAGTACCGGGAAGAACCTTCCGAGAGATGGCGCTTAAAGACGGTGATCAAGACATACATATATACTCGTACTCAATTGAATTTGACATCATCTCGCAGAATATGTTAATCAATGAGCGCGATCCAGTACTTTTATGCCGTGGAATAGCTTTGAGAGTTTGTAACATTTAATCTACAGACTGTCAAATCAGCCAAATAAAAACTGCTGTCAAACTAACAAATCTATCCCATTGTTACAGCTATTCAGCATAATAGCGCTGCATCGCTGGACCGCCTTACGTTGGCTGAATGCCCTCAATTATATTAGTCATCAGCAGTCGGACAAACATTATATGAAATAACATCTTGGGAATTGTGTAAATATACGGTGAGGTTCAAGTTTGGCTGACGTCGTAATGTGTGCAAGAGATAAGCGTGCAAAATGTATGTTAGAAAGAGTGCGCCGATGGAATCCGTGACTTCGTGCTCGGGTTGCTAGGCAACGAGGTGCTTCTATATCATTCTAACACACGTACTGCACGCTTCTCGCATTTCTCTCTCGTACACATTACGACGTCAGTGGTATTTGGTTTTCAGTCTATACTTCAAACTCGATCGTAATTACGTAGATAAATCTACTGGACTATCGTGGTGGACTACGTTTACTACAGAAACTGAAAGTAGATTCAGACAGAGAGAATGGAATGAAAAATGAAAGGAAGTGCTTTTACTATAACGGCATCTTTAAAACGCATCTTCAGTATTTGAAGGTCATTTTTTGATGAGAGAGAGGGCCATTCAGTTCATTTTGTAATCAGAAAATTTCCTAGAGGTGCTGGGTAAATGAAGAAACTGATATGCGTGATGAAAACAAGGTTTTTATAGAGTTTTGTAATGAGTTAGTAGCTTCAACAAAAAAGTACATTATTTAGGTGAATAATGAGAAGCACACGTTCATTATTCAATGAGATTGGGAATTCGAAGAGGCATCATCAAAAATGACAGACATACCGCTAAATTGAAAAAGAGAAAAATAGTACCTTCGAGATGTCAAAAAACACCCGTTGAAACATTCAATGTTAAATCATTCTAGCATTTTTATTAGGCATCTAATAAAATAAGTTTGTCTTTAATGCCGAAGATCACTGATAAGGAACCACTGTTACCCATCTAGGACAAAGAATGTTGAATAATTGCAATTTTAAACTACAGAAAGGTCTATCATCTACATGTTTCTTACCCTACCATTTCATTTTAAGTAGAAATACAGATGAATGTTCCCCAGGTATTATTTTTGTGGTATATAAAATCTATTTGAACACGTGTTGTCGATGGATTAAACCTGTTAATGTTGTAATAATGTTAAGAATTACGAATGAATGTGTGGTTTTCAAGTTGCGAATTCATCAGACGGAATTTCCATTCTCTACATGAGCAATTGAATGGTTGATGATGAGGATATGATTACGTAGATTCATTGCTATGTGCATTTTTGATTCATAATAATCTGTGATTGAGTTAAACATATATTTTTAGATTGCTGGAAAGTAGCAATTCTATGAAATGGATTACTTTATGTTAGTTTAGCATTCAAGGCGGACGTTTAAACCATTTTCTCACTGGTGGATTTGGCTAAAGGCTACTGGTATACTCATGTAGGAAACCTGTCTCTGGCACTGTGAAACAGTTAAATTCAAATAAAAATATAAAAAACGGTAAGAGGCATGGAATAAGGCTCCAATAATGATGTTCCTTCTTGCAGGCAAACTAAAACGCTACAGATTAAAAAACAAACAACCCTTATATAAAACTAGATTTTGTACTCGTATAGTAACAAAATTTCCAAAGTACAACGTTTATCCCGCTTCTGGCTGATTATGAAATCCTGAAGGACAAAGTTCTAAGTGTCCCAAAAACAGTTTGAGCCTAGGATCAGATGATCAAGTTTGCACTTAAAAAAACAAGTCCCCCTCATATTCTTCTGCGCCCATCTGCTGTGCAATTCACAAACAGGAACCTGAAACTTTCTCACACATCACTATTGTTTCTCCAATATCCGGCACGACGCAGCAAAGGGATTAGACAACAACCCAATAATGTTCTTTCTGCTCAAAAAATAAGAAAGCTCATTCAAAAAACTGATCTCGAAGGTAACAGGACTCTGGTGTTCTAGAACAATATCTGATGTTCTGGGGATATTAAAACTGCTGAAATCTGTGTGCAGAACAATCTACAGAGGCGCAAGGCAGCATTTTGAACAAACAAGAACCTGAAACCTTCTCACATAACAATCACCATTGTTTCTTCACTATCCGGGTTGAAAGAACAAATCGACTAAACCCGCAACAAACCGATGTTCTTTCTTGCAAGCCGGCCAAAACGCTACTGCTCAAAAAACAAAAAACTCTTATAGAATACTCAATTTTGAAATCGTACAGTAACAAAAACTTCAATGTTCAAGGTTGGATGTTTTATAAAATGCTGAAAGTCAAAATTCTATTTAAGAGCGACAAAAACAGTTTCGATTATAAAAACCCAGTAACCCTCACATTCTTCTGCGTCCAGATAGGCACAAGGCAGCATTTTACCGCAACGTATAATCACAAACTCAAACCTTCTTACACAACAAAAATCACAAATGTTTCACCGCTATCGGCTCAAACAACCAAACAACTGGCCACCACACTACTGCTCAAACAACCAACCCTTATAGAAAACTCAATTCCGGAATCGTATCAAAAACTCTAAAGTTGAAGGTCTATCCCGCTTCTGATATTTTTTAAAAGCCTGAAGATCAAAATTGTAGTTTAGGGCCATGAAAACAGTTTTAATCTGGTATCAGATGATGAATTTTGTACTTAAAGAAACCCTTACATTCTTTCGCGTCCATCTGCAGTACAATCCACACAGGCACAAGGCGGCATTTTAGCGCAACGTATAATCACAAACTGGAACCTGAAACCTTCTCACATAACAATCACCATTGTTTCTCCACTATCCGGCACGACGGACCAAAGCGACTAAACTACAACACAATAACGTCGTTCTTTCTCGCAGGCAGGCCAAAAAGCTACTGCTCAGACTGACTAGCAGCCGGTGTTGGTCGGTCAAACTTTTCAGTACATTCCACTTTACAAAGGAAATAATATTAGAATGTGAACTGTGTTTTCAAGGTTGGGAGACAGGGAGATGTCAATGGCATCTCTCTGGAGGTATAAATAATACGACAAAAATTCACACCGGCTGGCTACGTAAATATGGTGATGTGGTTAGTGAATCATTCGCAAGGAGTTGAGCACGATAATGATGAATCAAAGATAAAATCGTTTTACACGTTGTGGCAAATTAATTTGCGCGTGTACATCATTTAAGGGATAATTATACCACTCACGAGTTGGGAAGGTCACAATTCAATTCACAATTCACAAAACTACAACAAAAATACAGGGTGTTCTTTCCTTCACCTTATTGGAAAAATCGTAGGTTTTACGGTAGAACGTGAATCGAATACGCAAAACGGTAGATCTACTGCCATTATTGATCTGGTACAAAAAGGTAGGGACAGGGACATGAAAGTGGATATAGTGGAAGACTCAGATACCACGGAAGTTAACAAACGCGTGTTTTTGTATAAAAGAATCATCTTCGAGCATCTCTGACAACAGTCGGACCCAACAGTTAGAGAAGGGATATTTTGTGTTTGTTCTTACGTATGAATCACTTGCGAACACGAGGATCACGTTAGCGTGGACGAGCCTTGCTTGTGTGGAATGGCATCTGTCTGTACACGGTGTCGAGAGTTGAAATTATAACCTTGTAAAGTTGTTGACCCATCTCTAGCAGCGACCATCCTCGTTTCACACTGACTGGTTAGTGGTTATATGAGAGCAAACAAGATACCTGCCTGCAAACCTGACTAAATTTATACTGGCTCGTCAGCAAGACGGCAACAAACCGAACCACAACAGGACAGAGAAATAATGCTAATGGATTGCACATGTTTTGTAGATCATTTGTTTCTGAGTTGAGGAAAATGATGCTGGATGGAGGGTGGGAGAATTTCATTCATACGCACGGAAATGACGTTCTGAGAAAAGATCGACTGGATTTTTTTATAGAATGACAGCAGAATGGAAGAAAACGCTAAATATGGAAACCCAAAGATATATTTATAATGTAATGACAGCTTTATTTCGATTGTCTAAATTAAGATAGCATTCTGTATTCTTAGTGCCTGTGTGACTACTGATGTCTTAGTAGATTTTAGTCACAATTACAGTTAGTAGTCGTTTGTAATCTAGCAATTTCATGTTTTCCAATAAGCTTTGTCAGTTTCACAACTTATTCGGCATATGGACAGAAACATTTTGTGTGTGTCTAGCCAGGTTTCAACAGTATACTTTCAAGCGACTTACTGTCCTTAGAAGCACACACTGTTCTTCAACTTTTTGTTGACATAAACTTTGCCAAGGATTTCCTATTTCTCAACCTATTTTTTGTATGCGCCTTTCGAATTTGTTGTACCGCGGTTTTCTCCTTGATGCCACCATATACTGTACTCTGACAGTTACGCTGCAGCTTACTACGTGCTCGAGTTTACAAAATGACCGAACGTTTATTACGTGAAGAGTCACAATCCGCCTATGGAGAAGTGACCGTTTTGCTGGTATTTGCTTGAACTTTTGCAACTCGCATTTCGCTAGCGTCGTTTGTTTGTTGCAGGATCGTATGATACCACAGTCTGGTACAGGTGGCGTACAATGTGTCATGCTACTCAAATCCGTTTTAGTACCAGAGTATATATGGAGTACACTTTGGGAATAAGGTGTGACAGGAAATATAAGGTATAAAGCTCGCAGTTAGTTCCTTGTCTGCACAGTACAGGAGTAATAGATATATGCGGTCCATGCGGCAGAAGTAGTTCGACACAGGATGCTCAAAATATCGCAGGAACATATTTCCAATGGAATTGTTGCGAAAAGAATAGGTATGGACATGCAAATACTGAAAAGTGTTAAAAAACAAAAGACGAAGCAGTAGGCAATGTTCATGACTCAAGAATGTAGCTAGCCCGAATTCCCAGTCGCTATTAGGAAGGCTTCACCGGAAGAAAAAGTGCAAGTGCAAGAGATGGTAAGCGGTATCAGTTTTACAAAAAACGCAATCAAACCTAAGAAATCGTAATCCTCAAAAAGAATGGGGACAATAAAAAGTACGCTATTCATGACGAACTGCAGTTTATCCCATGCTAATAAAGACGCAGATGAAGGTATAAGATTCTTCAGAACTGAAGAACATGTGTTAGAAGCGATGCGGCAACAGTGCATCGCACAAATGCGGACTCACGGTCAGTGCTTGGATCTCGCGAGATCATTCAAGGTCAAGATCAGGGAGAGGCTTGTTTCAGATTTCATCTTCGGATGGCTTTAGTTTGTCCTTGCCCGGTATCATAGCATGGTACGAAGAGTTCTAGACTGTACTGGGTCATTATTAGACGTTTTTCGCTGTTCTTGCAACATGGAAACAGGAATATCACCATGGATATTTGTCGTCCTGTGTAAAATGTTAGTTTTACAAACGTCATACGTTGAAAAAGCTTGTAAACAACTGCCGTAAGGCGGGGTTCGGGGATATCGGGGTTGGGAAAAATTTTAATTTCAAACTGACAATGTTGTTTTCACACTGCACAAAATCGTGTAATCTCCCGCGTAGGGCCCTAAGGGTTAATCAGATTATACGAATAACTTCTGTTCTCATACAGTTGCAAATCACACTTTTTGGAGGTGGTATTTTTCTGACTCTACGAAAACAGAAGTTATTTGTAAAATCTGTAAGTTGTCTCCTAGCTATTTTTACCGTTTAGGCCCTTATGCATGAGATTACACAAATTGGTTCAGTATCAAAACAGAAATATCTGCGAGCCCGCCTTAGTTCAAGCTACATCTCTTTTATTTTTTCTGGTTACGAACACTTAAGTTTAGAACTAATTACAGCAGCAAAAATATCTATTTTAACGAATAATTTAATATTTGTTTTGAACTGAATTTCTAGGAAATTGCAAATAACTGGAACATTTTATTCCAAAATAAAGTTTAGAAAAAGAATAACCCAAAAGCATACAAGGTGTTACATTTGAAATGTTGAGTACAAGAACTTTTCGCGTAATTACAGACCCTGTATAGATGAGGCATAAAATTTAAAGTGAAGTTTGAAAAACAAGAAACTATCAGAAATTTGACGAAGAGTTTGACACTCTATCTGTTAAAGTAGCTGACTTGCAAGCTGTTAAATGTAAGAGTTTTCACTGACAAAATGTCCCGTACCTTCCGCGGTAGAGAATACAATTAAGATCATAACAAAATTCTTCTTTTCCTTTGAAGAGGCCTTTTAAAATATACTAAAATTCACGGGTTAAAAAAATTGTGTTGCCACGTGGTTAGAGATCAACTTGTGGAGAATGACAAACGTCTATTGCTTAAAATTTTTTTAACTAACTTTTTGAGATACCTATTCTTTGGAAATAGCGGAGCTATCGACACATCACAGGTAAAATTTGACCCTGTATAAAAATGTTGTTCATTTCATTAACAACAGAAATATAGTGTTAAATCCATTACCTACCTATATAATATATACTGCAATATACCGTGAGACAATAGAGATATTTTTCTGCAAATCATACAATCAAAAGGAAAAGCAAGGACCGAAATAATTCGAAAGTTTCTATTTGAAATACAATTCCGCTTTTATAAACTTTTTACTCGTTTTATACATGGTACGAACCTGTCACTTTTCGTAACATTTAAGTAACAGATATACGCTTATAGCAAGTAAGCGGCACTTTCAAATATTTTTCTGCTGAATTTTTTACCAGATTATAAAAACCAGATGTTATGCAACTATGTCACACCGTTGATGAAATTCAATATTATGCAGCATTCGATTTCGATAAGTTATACGAATGTAAGCTGAGCAGCAGAGGTGTACAATTTTTTATGAATGCAATGGTAGAAAGGTCAATATCAAGGACGTTGTTTACATTCGTGTCATTCTCACAAAGAAAACAAACACACGACGAAGAATGATTAATAGAAAAAATTATAATAACATATCGATTTATCTGTATTTGAATGGCAATCAGATAAACATCTCATCGAAAATAACACTGCGGTCATTAGGATCTATTTGAATTACGTACATGGTTGGCAGATTATGGGCCGAGAAACAAAAATGGCGGCAGGTAGATTGATTTAGGCCCGTATCGTCAGTCGTCCCTACAATTGTAGGGCGCGTTTATGGCGTCCTTGATTTCGATAATATTACGTCTTCTACGTTAACGTACATGTATGCCCTGCTTTACATTTCCGACATACTGACAGTTCTGGCTTGAGGTTATGTTGTTGTTTTGACGTTCAATGGAAAGCAGAACCATAATTTATAATTTTCTTGCAAATAATGTTGATCACTCAAAAATGCCTCGCTACATTCAACAAATTCCCCAACCTGTGGTATCTTCAAGAAATTGTTGAGTTAGGAAAATTAATGCACATGGATATATTATATTATAATATCATATTTGTGTGTATGAAAGTCCAGCTTACAACCAAGCTATTCTCTTGATGAAGGTTGGTAAGTTACAAAACAAATCATTGCATATACATATTATATACTTATCGCATTATTTTCAGGTGAAATTCATTCTCACAGACTTTATGAGATGGCTCTTCCATGGATAAGAAACATTGTATGGCAAGTGCAATTATTGCATTGTCGATGTCAGAGATGCTTTTTCACAAATCATTGCGGGACTCTAGATTGTGTACAGTGTCAGGCACAAGTATATTATAATGTGTGTATGTGAAGATCATAATTACTATTATTGATCATCGCTTTTTGAGGGTGGTCAAAATGCCGTGGTCATGTAGGATTACCAAAAATGAAGTGATACAGAGAGTAAACAGAAGAATAGTGTTGCAGCGTGAAGCAAAATCAGAAAAAATTACGAATGGGAAAATAAAAGATTGTGACTCATCAAGGGAATTACTTTCCTGTTTAACAAACCCCAAACAATTCAAACAACTAGATAAGCGGAAAAGACTCATTATGTTGAAAATTGTAGGTACCTCAGTCAGACTGGGTTAAGCCCTAATAGGTAGTTTTAACATAGTTTCAGTGCATTCATAATTCACTCATCATTACAGG